TTCTTAAGTAATGGTTATAAAAAAAAAAAAAAAAAAAATTATTAGGTAATTTTTTTTTTTAAATTATCACTTTTGTTTTAATGTTTCGCTTTTAGTGGAAAAAATTTCTGAATCCGTCCTACTTCTTCGCCGCCACCCCCCCCCCCCCCCCCCCCCCCCCCCCCCTAAATCCAAAATGACGGTCAAATTTTTTAATCAAATGAATGACTCAAATTGAACAGATTTTAATTTTCCCTTTAGATTTCCTAATTTATCCTTAATGAATATGATTATCGTTAACTTTTCCGTTAAATATTATCTTTTCCGTTAATTTCTGTTAGTTCATCGTTAACTTACTCATTGATTTCAATAAAAAAGGTCGTAGGTTCGAACCTCATCCCAATCGAAGTTGGCATAATTAGTACACTCTATTTTACTCTTATTGCATTAAATAATAATTTAGTAGCTACAACAAAAAATAATACATATGCATTTCTTTAATTTAGAATTATGTGTCTACAATGTCTTTGTTCAAAAAAAAATTATTCATTATCAATAATTTAAATAAGAGAAATAATTTCATTAGTTATATTGTCTTTATTTTTCTCCAATATAAATATTCTTTACATTCAAATTCATCAATTGATTATATTCGTTACTTTATCCCTAGAATGTCTTTATTAAAAAATTATTCATTATCAATAAATTAATTAAGAGAAATAATTTTATTATTTATATTGTCTTTATATTTCGCCAATTTAAAAATTCGTTACATTCAAATTCATCAATTGGCTACATTGTCTATTATCTTTTTTTTTTGTGCACTATTTTTCAATTAAATATCAAAATTATATAGAAAATAATGTTATATATTTATTTACTAAGTATTTTATTAATACCCTAAAAAACAAAATAAAAAAAATAAAAAAAGTCAATCATATTAACTACTTGAGGGATTTGTTGACAAAGAGAGTGATGGTTTAATTGGGACCGGGTCCATCATAAACCGGTTATAGAAATATAGAACGGGGGTATGCAAAGAATAACTTTATTGCCCGGAACGCTAGGCCCAAAATAGTACGTACAAAGTCCGAGGTACGAGCCAGAATGGCGGCCCAAAATAATAACTAAACAAGTTAAGGGAATTAATAAATGAAATAAAAATAAATATGTTACCGATAGGACTGCAACCCTAGTGTGCCAACAAGGGATTGAAGACTCAGACTGATGGACCAGGAGGGGTTTGGTGTATTAAGGGGTGCATTTAAAAGGGAGGGAAGAGTGCCTGTTTATACTGTTAAGGGGTTCACGGATGGTTGACAAATGGATGGCATCTAGCAGCCTCCATTCTGGACCACACATGTGTTACCCCACTACCTTTAACACATAAGATTTTGATTGGTTTGGTGGTTTGGGACTTATGTTGTTATGCTTGAGGTTGTGGGTTCGATACCCCATAGTGATAATTTTAATAAAATTTTGCTCCAAGCTTCCTTCCTTCCTTAGCTCGATAGAATTCCATTATTCTTGTTGGGCCAACACATCGCCCATAAAGATGGACACCCCGTTAGGGCGGTTGGGCCGACTTTCCCAATAACATGGCCCCCCGGGGTCCCATATCGCCATCACAAGTCCCCCACTTTCTTTAGGCATCTCGATGCCTAAAGGAAGTATAATTCAATACCACCACCTCCTCCATTTTCCAAACTCAACTTCCAGTTCCAAATTTTCCAGATATTTGTTGTACGCTGCTGCGCGCTACGCCATTACCGTGCGTCGCTATCGCACGGCCCTAACAATCATCGACTCATTACTTGCTTCATTGCCTCGCCTTCAGGATCTGGTTTTCTGGACACACTTCTTGCATTGGATATTTTCCTTGCTAGTCAGTACCCGACTTCTTTTGAATATTTTGTTGTTTTACACTGTTCTCCCTTGTTGTTTTGTCATGCGTTTGATGATTTCTCCATGCTGCACGTGCATGCTTCTTTTGAATATTCACTGGATGTCTTTGCTCCTTCTTCATATTGTACCTGCATACTCCCCCTTTTTTTTAATTGATGAATATAATCGATAGTTGTAAGATGGGGTAGTGTGGGTTGCGATAACCCACACGCCCCATCCGCCAAAAACCATGCGGCTTGCCGAGGGCAAGTCCGCGCATGTGGGTTGCGATAACCCACACGCCCCATCCACCAAAAACCATGCGGCTTTCCTTGGGCAAGTCCGCGGATGTGGGTTGCGATAACCCACACGCCCCATCCGCCAAAAACCATGTGGCTTGCCGGGGGCAAGTCCGCCAATGTGGGTTGCGATAACCCACACGCCCCATCCGCCAAAAACCATGCGGCTTGCCGGGGCCAAGTCCGCGATGTGGGTTGCGATAACCCACACGCCCCAGCCGCCAAAACCATGCGTCTTGCCGGGGGCAAGTCCGCGCATGTGGGTTGCGATAACCCACACGCCCCATCCGCCAAAACCATGCGGCTTGCCGGGGGCAAGTCCGCGCATGTGGGTTGCGATAACCCACATGCCCCAGCCACCAAATGTACACAGACTGCCTACCTCGCCATGCGAGTCCGGTACTCGATAATTCGAATGGCTGTATGGCCAACATGCATAGCACACAGGAGTACATAGGAACACATAGTTGAGGTGGCCGTAATCCAAGCATGCATAGGACATAGGAGCACATAGTCCAGGAAAATAAACATAATCTTTACTGAACTAACTGTAAAAGTGCACTCACCAGGGTAACGTTTCAATGTGCTAAGTGTGTTATCCCGTAGGGTAGTTCATCATGCGAATCAGCCATTTGGGCATTACATAATCTTGCTCAGATAATAGAGACTGCAAACACAGGCTAATCATAGCGATCCCCACAGACGACGCCAATGATAGTTTTATTGGGACCGGGTCCACCATAAACCGGGTATAGAAATATAGAACGGGCGTAGGCAAAGAATAGCTTTATTGCCCGGGGCGCTAGGCCCAAAATAGTACGTACAACGCCTGAGTTACAGGCCCAGAATGACGGCCCAAAATAATAACTAAACAAGTTAAGGGAACTAATAAATGAAATAAATCTAAATATGTTACCAATAGGACTTGAACCCTAGTATGCCAGCAGGGGGTTGAAGACTCAGACCAATGGACCAGAAGGGGTTTGTTGAGCTAAGGGGTGCCTTTAAAAGGGAGGGAAGGGTGCATATTTATATTGTTGAGGGATTCACGGATGGTTGACAAATGGACGACATCTGGCAGCCTCCATTCTGGACCACACATGTGTCACCCCATTACCTTGCTTCCAGCGCACTCCCCTGCCTAAGTGGAGCTTCCTATCCTTTAACACACAAGATGTTGATTGGCTTGGTGTTGTAGGACTTGTGCTGTTATGCTTGAGGTCGTGGGTTCGATCCCTCATAGTGATAATTCTAATAATATTTTGCTCCAACCTTCCTTATTTTCTTAGCCCGATAGAATTTCATTATTCTTGTTGGGCCAACACATCACCCATAAAGATGGACACCCAATTAGGGCGGTTGGTCCGACTTTCCCAATAACATGGCCCCCGTTAGCGAATTATATTAGCAGATTGACCAACGGTGGTAAAAATATATTTGAAAAAATAAGCTATTTAGATTAACATGTAAAATGATATAAGGGTATACATATATTTAATAATAATAATAATAATAATAATAATAATAATAATAATAATAATAATAATAATAATAATAATAATAATTGTTTTTTAAAAAAATAAAAAATATATATAATTAAACCAATTATATTAACTGCTTGGGGGATTTATTGACAAAAATAGTATTCAAATCACACAACAAATTGAAGTAGAAACTAACTCGCAATGTCATTTTTTGGCAATCAGTAGTTAGCTGTTCAATATTTGTATATATTTAATATTTTATGTCTTAATTTTTATTTGCTCTCCCTTATGTCTCGTATTTGATTTCAACCATACCTAAGCAATTATTTTATTGATAATTATAATCAATCTTGACTGTATTATCTTGCGTTTGTAAATATAGAATTATCTATTTAAATATGCAAATTCAACATTCAATTATCTATGCATGAACAATTCCAATATAATCTTGAGTTGATATACTTTAAAGTACTTATTTAAAGAAAAAAACATTGGACATTATCTCAATCGCGCAATGCGCGTAAAAAAATTAGTATAGTCATAAATATCTAAATATATTCATTAAATTGGTAATATTATAACTATATTAGGTATAAAATAAAAAATAAAAAAGCTCCACTAAGTCCCATGAACTGCTTGAGCCAAGTATTAAGAGGCTTGAAGTCAGCTTTTGTCATTACCTGAACTACATTGGCCTAAGCTCAGCTCAATAGTAACCGAATCAAATTTAAATATTCAATTCGTCGAATCAAGTTTGAATAGTTAACGAATAACTTGGTTCATTTACCCCTTCGATTTCATGTTCCTACGTAATAATGTATTATTAGTAAATTTTGACTACATATATTTTCAGCGATAGAGTACAAATTGGTTATTAGAAATGTCAAATTTAATTTTTTTTGAGTTAATTTATTTAATTAAACAAGAAAATATTATGGTTCCATAATAATAATAATAATAATAATAATAATAATAATAATAATAATAATAATAATAATAATAATAATAATAATAATAATAATAATTCCTCCTTAAAAAATTAAATTTCCTGAATAAAATTTAAAATAATTTTTTATATTTAAAAAATACATGAATAACTTTTTAATCTTGCCAAACAAACTAGTTTAAAATGTTTAAGAAAGTAAAAATAAAATTAGTTTAAAATGTTTAAGAAAGTAAAAATAAAATTATAAAAGGTAAAACTCGTACTCAAGCTCCACAGATACAATCTCACTTCTCACTTTGAGATCTATAAGCTAACCATTTACGCAACAGGATACTTATGGCTAAGGTTGGATTTGATATTTAAAGATTAAGAATACTTAAATAAAATAAAAAAAAAAAAAACAAAAATCGGGGTGGGAGAGGATCGCACTCTCGACCTCTGGATTACTCACCGAGCGGTGAGATTGTTTAACAATCGTTAACGCCATGAGCCCAGCGCGCTAGCCAACTGCGCCACCACCCCATATGTGAGCCGTGACAAATTCTTTTTAAAAAACAATTAAAAAAATATATTAATTAACAGAAAATTAATTAGCCTTACATTATCTAATTTCAAAGAAAAACCAATTAAAGAAATCTATTAATTAACAGAAAATTAAGAAGCCTTACATTATCTTCTCACCTCTTTTCTCTCTTCTTTATTTACAATAATATTTATTATATTATTATAAAATATATAATTGTAATATTGTGAATTTATATATTCTAATGTTTTAATTTATAAATTACTACTACTTTTATAATCACTTTATTATGTAGTGCGGTATTTGCATGTTGATCTTTATACATACACATTATTCTTTACAATTTCAAATCTAACCGAATAATAAAATCAATATTTCAGTAATTTCTTTCATACCAACAAAATAATAGAATCAATGTTCTAAGTAGAATTTAAATTACATTCCTATTCAATTTATAATATTATGACTATATTAGGTATATAATATATTTTAAAAAAATAAAAAAGCTCAACTAGTCTCTTGAACTGGTTGAGCCGAGTATTAAGAGGCTTGAATTTGGCTCGACTCATTACTTGAACTAATTGAGTTCAAGCTCGGTTCAAATAGCAACTGAATCAAATTTAAATATTCATCGAATTAAGTTTGAATAGTTCGTGAATAACTTGGTTTATTTATACCCTGTAACACCCCCAATTTTAAAAATCAAAATATTAATATAAGAGACATATATTTAATGAAAAAAGATGATTTGAATGCGGAAGTAAAAATGACATTTTTGCATCCGCATTCAAATATTTTTGATTCCGCATTTCAAATCCCATATTCGAACGAAATACACCCTATGTATGACCAAGTCCAACATTCAATTTCATTGTAGACTATCTAAGATACACCTAATTTTGTTGAGTACTACTGATAGTGTTCAGTACACTAAAAAATAACCAACATAGTTATACCTAGCTACAACTATCAATATTGTAACATTATAATTATTATAATTTTCTTACAAAACATTTATAATATATCATAAAATTCTTCTTATTGTATAGTTTTTCACCTACATCAACATTCTCAACATTATTGCTTTTATCCATAGTATGCTGAGACTTATATATATTATTAATAAACATCAACAAAAAAAAAAAAAAAAACTATTTCATTAGAAATTCATAACAATATTGAACAATAAAATTTATAATAAAAGAATTGATCAAATAAAATATTTAAAAATATAATTACATGTTTCATAAAATAAAAAAATAAAAATCTAATATTAATAACATATATAAAAAATTATACTTGATATATTGCTAGACATCATGCAAAGAACTATTATTTGCAATAACAATATGATCAATTCTTTTATTATAAAAAATTTCCAGCAGTGTTTTACGCACTTTGCGTGAATGAAATAATGCCCAATGATTATTTTTAAATAAGTATTTTAAAGTATATCAATTCAAATATTATCGGAGATGTTCATGCATAGGTAAATAAATATTGAATTTGTTTATTTAAGGTTCTCTAGAGAGAATATTGTGTTTTTCCTTGGATCATTGAACCTTGGTGTGGTTAGTTGCTTGTAGAGATTTGGTTTAATTACTTGTAGTTCCTTTGATATGATGTAATTAGTTTGTCACGAACAAAATGGTAGTTTATTTAACATGTTTGGTTCGAGCATGAAACACAAGACTTGCACGCAAATAGGTAGCCCCAAGATTGTCACACCAAAATTTTGGTGGTTTTTGCATAGTAAGATCAAGTTCTTTAATTAATTAAATCAACTAACCATGTTACCTCTACTGAGACATCGGCTATAACTTTGTATTTAGCTTATGTTGATGACCTAGGAACTGTCTTTTGCTTGCAGCAAGCCCATGAAATTAGATTTTTACCAATAAAGACAGAAAAATCACTAGTGGACTTGCGGTCATCATGATATCCCATTAAATCAGAATCCGAAAATGCATGAATGTTGTTTGAGTCTAATTTCGTAAAATATAGCCCATAGTCTATAGTAGCTTTGACATACCTTAGAACACGCTTTAGGGCAACCTAGTACTCACGGTACGGGACGACGGGTCCTCTGACCCCGCCTCCCAGTCCCGTTGGTTATTAATTATTTTGCTTCCAAGGAATAACCAAGCAATGACATACATGAACCCTAATAACAAGCTCTAGATATGCATTTTCACAAGACAATGCATAAACACTCACATTTCATAGCAAAATCACCTGTAGAATCTAACAAATCATCATATAGGTAAGCAAAATAGATTTTGTATAGCATGAGTTACCTCTTGAAGACTTATCCTTCACTTACAACACATCTCAAGCTCCTAACAAGGTTCCCTTTCCACCCACTTCAAGAACATACCAAAACATCATAAAGATTTCACCTTTAGAAAAAGATACCTTAGAAAACACTAAAAACACAAAAAGGAGCTTAGATCTTACCCTCCTAGATGCTCAAATGTAGGAAAGGTGGGATCTTGAAGACAAACTTGGAAGATCTTGGTAGCCTTAGATTTAGCTTGGAGAGAAAGCAAACTAGCTTTTTAGAGAGAAGGGAGAACTTATGATTTTGGAGAGTGTTTGAGAGAAATAAAATGTGTTTCTTAGGTTAGCTTGGAAGACTATTGAAAGGGAAATGTCTTATTTACCCTTACTAAGATGAAAAGTGTAAGGGAACAAGAGAACTATGCACAAAGCTTTAGGTACAACACTTGACTTTGGGTTGACTAGTCAATTACTAGTCCCCGACTATTGAATTTCAGGAATTTAAGGAATTAAATTACCAATTGGTTGAGGATTAATTACTTAATTAATTCTTTAATTGAATTTTGGATTACGGGGTGTCACATGTACATTATTTTTATTCTGAGTATACATTATATTATATAATGTACATTCAGTACAAAAATAATGTACATTTAGTATATTAAAAATGTACTTTTTGTTATGGTCCTCATAACATCGTGTGGACCATGGTCCACACAATAATTTGCCATGTCGGTTGCGAGTGAAGTATTGATTAACCATTGTAGACTGATCAAAATTTGTGGAAAGCTCCGAATTACCATCATAGATAAATAACAAAATTCTAGCATACACTCTTCTTCTTTTTTATTATTTACTAGTATTTGCACCCGTGCGATGCACGGAATGAATTTGTTGTAATATATTAAGAATATATGAATCGATATATAATTATTTAAATTAGAACATCAAATATTATATAGTGCAATTAAATATATGATTTGGATCGTTTATATATTTTAGTGTTATCATTGCTTGAATTTGTGTAAATAATTTCTCTAACAACTCAGTTATAGAAATGAATTGGTATCCTTATTCATTTGTATGGAAGATATATTTTTTTTGTCTAGATATATAACAATTTTTTCATTTTAAAAAAAAACTTAATATCACCGATTATATTTACACATTATTGAAACCTCTTTGTAGACGACATTGGTAGTGACAACACAATCCTATTCATCTTCGTCTAGAGCTAACACCTTCAATCCATCAGGATGGATTACTTGGATTAAAATATATAATGGTAGAATATTATTCAATTAGTTATCCTTTTATATTTTCAATCAATTAGTGATGTCAGATTCATTTTCAGCCAATTATTCTTTTTTATTTTCAGACAATTAATCAATTAGAATATCAAATGTAGTGATATTTTTACCTAATTTTCATTCCATTTTTAATTGATGATGTAGATATTATTATTGAAATATTTCCGTTTCATTTTTAATTTACATTTACTATTATTTAAAATATGCATTTACTATTGATAATGTAGAATATTATTATTGAAATATTTTTCTCCAATTTTTAATTTTCATTCCATTTTTAATTAAAATGCAATGATATGGTCATTTCTTTTTTTTTTTAGTCAATTATTGAGCATTTTTTTATTTGCAGTCAATTATTAATATTCATTTCCTTTTAAAATTTTCAGTCAATTAGTAATATTAGATTCATTTTCAGTCAATTTTTTTTTTTTATTTTCAGTCAATTAGAATATAGATGTATTGATATTTTTTCCTAATTTCCGTCACATTTTAATTTGATGATGTAGAATATTATTAATGAAATATTTTCGTTCCATTTTTAATTTACATTTACTATTTTTAAAAATATGAATTTACTCCTTGATGATGTGAAATATTATTATTGAAATATTTTCTTTCTATTTTTAATATTCCTTTACTTCTAAAAAAAAAAAACTTTGGACTTCTTACTACTTGCCCACATTGATGGCAAGCAATTATGTTTGTAAACATTTTCAAGAGCCCCTCTTTCCAAACATTTTCAATGTGAGATTAAAATGATCCAACATCATTCTTCTTATTTTTTTTAATTTTAATTTTATTTTGTATATCGTTTTGTTTGGATGACGATGATGATGATGGTGATTATTATTATTATTATTATTATTATTATTATTATTATTATTATTATTATTATTATTATTATTATTATTATTATTATTTAAAAAATTGAGATTGAAAAAATCACCAAAATTTTAACAAATTCGTCATTTTAACAATTTATCTTTAATCAAAACACCAAAAATATTATTTAATAACGTAGTAATTTGCTCTAAACTGCTAAAAACTAAAACAATACATACATTTTGGGTTAATCTTTCCCAACACACTAATAATAAATAAATAAATAATAATAATTATAAATAATAAATAAATAAATAAAAACTAAAATAAGAAGACAAAGCTAAGGTTTCTTAAATAAGAACCTTTTAACTTCTCAATACTTGCAACATTGATGGACAAACAATTATGTTTGTACCTCTTATATAGAGGAGCTCAAGAGCTTATCTTTTCAAACATTTTCAATGTGGGATCAAAATAATCTCATATCATTTACAAAGGGATGGGGGAAAAACTTGGCAAGGAGGATTTTACTTTTATATATATATATATATATATATATATATATATATATATATATATATATATAT